GACACACACACACACACACACACACACACACACACACACTGTGACACACACACACACACATTGGCGCTCCCCTGGCCCCTCCAAAGCCCGGCCGGCGACCGGTACTGGCCCAGGCGAACCCCGTTCGCGGGCCTTGAAAACACGTTCTCGTGAACGTGTTCTCGACCCGTTCGCGCGAACGGGAGAACCCGTTCGCCCGAACGAAAAGGGCCGTGAACACGTTCGCCGTGCTACGCAGGTGAAAACCCGCTATAGGATTTTACACCGTATGTCGGGCTGTGGTGGGTGGGAGCGGGGAATGTTCCCGCTCTGATACCAATGTGACAGACCGCGGGCCGCCGGGATGGTGGTCCGTTAGGATTGAGACAAAGGGTTGAACGGGGAGGAGATGGAGACGGAGTTGGAAGGGACAGCGTTACAGTGCAACTCCGACGCGGACTCAACTTGCACGTACTCCAAATGTGCAGAATGAAGAATGAGTGGAAAACAAACAATAGCTGGGGTATACCCCCAGCGGACTGACTGGACTGGACTGGACTGGACTGGAACAGCACACGGCCTGGTCCCACAGGCCGAACAGGCAAATAGCCCGGTAGGCCTTGGCTGTCGGCCAGGGCAGATAGAGGCCTGCTGCAATGGATAACTGGGTGCATGACTTTGGACTGCCAAAGATGATCGTTAGTGATAGAGATGTGTATTTCACAAGCGAGATGTGGAAGAAGGCCGCTGAACAGATGGGCAACCAGCTCCAAATGACTTCTGGGAATCATCCCAAAGCCAATGGGCAGGCTAAACAGATGAACCGGGTGGTCCAGCATCTGCTGAGGCATTATATTAAGCCTAGCCAGGATGACTGGAATGATAAATTGCCTCTCATCGCCAGTCTTTACAACGTTGTTGTATACAGCACCACCGGGGTCACCCCGAATCAGCTGCATCTGGGGTGAAAGCCTAGATCTGCACTAGACTTCCTCCTTCCTGAAAACCGACCTGCTGCAACTCCTGGAACCATTGAGTTTGGTGTCCAGTACAAGAAGCTGCTGCAGCAAGCTGTAGAGAACATCAAGAAGTCTTAGGAAGCAATGATTGCTTCTGAGAACAAGCATCGCCGAGTCGCCGACAGTCCACATTTCAGGTAGGGGAACGTGTCTGGGTTAAGGCTAGTGAATTGGGACAAGAGTTCGGGATCTCTAGGAAACTAATGCCTCAGCATTTCGGTCCCTGGGGAGTCCTGGATGTTGTGGGTAATGAGATGGATGGTCCTTCGCACGTTATCCATATCCCTGGTCACTTACGCACTCACCCTGTGTTTCGTGCCTCAAAGCTCGCTCCTTTCGCTGAGACAGAACAGTTCCCATCAAGGAGATCTATGCTGCCCCAACCATGGATGGTCACGTGGACGTCGACGATATCCTGGTCCCTGGAGCACAGAGACATGCCTGTTCCCAGGCCAGCTGGCCGGGGTAGACCACGTAAGCATGAGCCAGAGTACAGACTTCGGTTCAGGCATCATACTGAACCTAAAGAAGATCGATGGTTCACAAGGGAGGAACTTGTCAAGACAGCTCCTCAAATCGTGGCTGAATATGAACGGAAACTGAAGGGGAAGGCACCAGCTTGAAGTATCTCAGCGGACTTTTGAAGCTAAGGGGGAAGGAATGCGAGGAATGAGCCCTCACGGGGCCTTATCAGACATGCATATGTTCAAGGCAGAGGCCCTCAGAAAGCCCAGTGCCCGCCCTAAGTGAAGGCGGGCCTGAATACTCACTCAAGGCCAAAATTCGACATTTTTTTATATGTGGGTATGCAGGATGTGGCAGCACGCTAGTCGGTTGAATGGACGCATGAGCCTCACTAAGCTGCGTCGTACAGTTGGCCCAGGCCTTGTGGGTTGCCCCTGGGCATATACACACGATGCAGGGCCAAAATACATTACAGATTGGCTTCAGGCCTGTGGAAAAGAAGCACTACTGTCGACTTACATGCCCCAGGGTCCTGTGTAGGTGCAGCAAACCGCCCGGTCTGAAATAATGCAAGTGCCCAACTGTGAAGGGGCCCAGGCCACCAACTGCCAAGCTGGGCCTGGGCGCAGGTATTGGGGCCTGACCGGAAGCTACTGGAAGCTTCCCAGCCAGGCCACATGCGGCATCCAGGAGGCTGCCACTTCCACATAGGAAGTGAGGCAGCCCAGGCCAGGCATTCTGGCCCGTGCAGGCAATGTGGTCACGCTGCTGGGCTGCTGCATTGGATGCTGCATTGCAGCCAGTGCGCTTGCAGGGCGCGTTGAGGTGAGGTGGGGTGCTGCAGGGCAGCGCAGCGCTGCAGCCATAGCCGGGCTGCTGGGCGCTAGGGGGTAAGAGGGCGTTTGGTGGTCTTCAGGAAGGAGGCGAGTGTGTGGGGTATCAAGGTCTGATGACCGTGACGAGATACGTACCTGGTGCATGAATAGAGGTCGGCTATGGTGTTGACATCATGTACATTGGTCTTCGAGAATCGAAGTGAGCCTGTTGCATGAATACAGCTGTAGGTAGGATAGTCGAGTAGAGTAGGCTGGGCGCTGGGCGCCAGAAAGAGATGAGCGACATTGGATACTGTGTTGGTGTGGCCTGAGGGCTTGAACATTGTCTCATTACTTCATTGTATTGCTCTATTTGGATGACTTCTCGGTGCGTGTGTGCTCTCTGCTTGTACACGACTACTTGGACATCTGTGTGATTTCGCAACTCGGTTTTCTGTATATCGTTCACACTCATATTTCTTGCATGTGTGCTTTCCACCAATTATCCCCAGAAATAGGGGTGGTATACCCTGGGACTTGGCTATAAAGTTTTTTGTATTCAGCTGCAAGAACTTGTTAATATAAATGATTCAATTCTTGCCAGCATGGTAAATAACACCGGTAAAAAAAAAAACAAAAAAAACACACTGGTTTGAAGTCACAAGGAACTTCGTTAGACAAGTCAGATTCGAAATGAAGTTCTTTAGGTACGCAATGTATACCGATTCACTCCGTCGTACCTGCACGAGACGAGCATAATCACGCAGATTGAAGGTATAATGCGATTTCGCCGGTGTTGGCAAGAGGTTGCGCATAGCAGAATGGTATAGATCCGTTGTGGCCCCAATTATTGGAATGCACATCTCGCGGAGTTCATCTGAAAAATCCTTGTGCTGAAAGTACCAGCCCAATATGGTTGAAAATATCGAGGTTAGTGTCTCGGGCGTGGCATCCGTCATCGCAATCGTGCTGAAGTGTCGGAGAAATCGCGGAGTGACATGGTGCCGGCCACCACCTGGGGGGCTCATTGCAGCTATGACATTAACGTCAACTATTTCTCTGAATTGGTTGTCTCTCCCGTACCACCCTCCGTAGTCCATGAACTGGCGTAACAATTCTATTGGAGGCTGAGCTCCGTATAGGTCTGGCTGCGGCATATTTAGATCATCGACGAACAGAACACATTTTTTTCCGAAGGGTGGACCATACACACCTTTGCGACGTTTATCCAGTTTACTGTCTATCTGTGACTGGGCCGCGTTCGCAGACGTTCTTGCAGAGAAGCCGACGATGATTTTTGCATACCGTGTGAGAGGCAAGGAACTTACTAGATATCTGTTAGTGTATACACTTTTTCCTGTCCCAGTCGGCCCTACGACAAGCGTAGGAATGCTAGCCCCGGTTGCTAGGTCTAGAAGAAACGTATATCTGACTGAGTCTACAGTTGGAATGATGATATCTGTGAATTGGGCTCCTTCGGGAACTCTGAATCCGGCCGTTGCGCTCATCCAGGGCCTCCATGAGCATGTCCACTTGTCGTACATGAAATCATACACCAGTGCACCCTGGGCATCGGGCATCATCGGTGCCGCAAGCGTCGTATGCTTCTGTGATGTCAACTGCTCATATCCCGATGGCGGGACTCCCGTCGCCAGCCTCCGGAAAAACAAATCAAAATGTCTCCTCGAGTCCATGTCTCCCGTGCAGCCAAGAGACCACACAAGTGAGAAGACGAAGAAGGAGTCAACCCACAACATCAGCTTATCGATATCAACTTTGGAAATGACGGCAGCTCCCCCTGCAATGGCGGATTTCCTCATTACTGACTGCTGCCCAGCTGATGCCGAAGCCGTGGGCGAATTAGCTGTGGCAATAGGGTCTGTGGATGTCTCAGTTCCTTTATCAAGTAATAAGGCCTCCACTAGGCGCAGCAAGCATTGAACAACATTGGCATCCATTGTTTCGGAATATTCTTGGATGACGTGACGCAGAAAGTGGAGGGATGGAGGGACCATCCAAAGGAACAGTTTCCTGATCTGATCGCGCGCCCTCTCTGTGAAGCTTGCAGGAAGGGTTGCGATCCAGGAATCGAGAAGAGGGTGAAAACCCAGTTTGTGTGGCTCGAAATAGATCATTCCGCAGCGCGAGACGGTTGCAGGGGATGCAGCTGATAAATCCCCTACCTCGAATATCATGTTCATGCGAGCAGACATTTGGATGACTTCACTATTTGACAAACACAACTTCTTATTGTCGTCCAGTACACTGTTCATATTTTCAATCCAAATGGCGTCAACGGGCCCGTCTAGTATCAGCCACTTACGATCGGGTGAATTATCAGTCGCCTGCTGCCTGAATTTGACCGCAAGTATGCCGTCTACCCATTCCTGTGTCGCAGATTCGGTCTGGCCATACAGTTGGCCCGTAGCCACTGCCTTCGGATTGATGAATGCCATCTGCACGCGGGACTCACCGCCTTTCCCGGCGGCGGACATGTCCGAGATTGACCCGGCAAGTACCTTCAGCACTGAGGACTTGCCCGAGAAAGGCAGTCCGACTAGCATCAGTCCATGCCTTACGGTGATCATCTCGTAGAGCTGCGCTGCTTTAGTAAGGAAATAAACCGACGGTTGAAGTCCCAGCCGTTCACAGTTTGTCTTCATGGCGAGGTCTAGATGATTGTGATCAGGCGGCGGAAGGGTAACCCCTGGGAAAAGATCAGACACGATACCCTCGAAGAGTTGAATATCATGAGAAAGGAACTTGCAGAGGTTCACGTCTGTAAGTGACCGTAGCGTCAGAACAAATTCATCCTCCTCCGGGTGAATGCGTTTTAAATTGGATGCCGCGCGGAGGACGGTGATCACTGCTCGCATGCCATAGTCGTAGTGGTCCTGACTGGAAAGTTGTTCCGAGCACAGTCGATACATGGCAACGATCTTACGAGCGCACTCCCGCGCTCGTAGATATCCATCGCTATAAAGGATGATCTCGCTGATCATAGCGTAGTCAGGAACCATCATCGCTACGCTTCGAAAAAGTGCCTTCAGATTATCGGGAAGCTCAGACCTTCCGGCATATCCAGGATTCATTGTAATGAAAATAGCACACGTAGGTTTCAAATTGAGCTCAGTACCCTCGAAAACGAAAACTTTCACCCCATTCTGCACCGCCATTTGCACCTCCAGAACCTGCTGTGCAATGACCGATAGGACCTCTACCTCTATCCTGTTGAACTCGTCAAAACAAGCCCACGAGCCAGATGCAGCGAGACCCTTGAAGAACTTCGCCATGGCCATGTAATCAATCTGATCGCTGCAGTTGAACACGATGCATTGCCTTGCCAGCGCCTTCGCCAAGTCCTTCGTTGTCTCTGTCTTTCCGGTTCCAGCTGGGCCCTCGGGCGCGCCACCCAAATGAAGATGAACCGCACTCATCAATGTTCGGTAGCAACGGTCAGTCAATGGAGTAATAACCAGACGGCTAGTGTTCCCGAGATATTCGTAGCCATACTCGACACTTCCATTCATTATTCGCACCATACAGCTTTCATCTTCCCAATATATCCGGAGTTCGCTCTGCCATTGGAACTCGCCCTCAGTCCGAACTCCATCTTTCGCCAGCCTGGACACAACGTCGCGCGCATGAACGTCCATGACGACGAGTGCAGAGAGCGTTGCTCTGCTCAACCGAGTCAAATTACCACGTACGAGTGAAACTATTTGACTCAGCTGCTCCGTGCATATTTGTTCGTAGTTGCTGAGAGAAAGACCGCCAGTACGGATACAATTGCCCACATCCCGTGTCCAGCATATCCCGCTGACTACAGATACCACCTGCCCTGGCCATTCCAGAACCCATTTTTCCCTGGCAGTTTCTACTGATGCAGAGAGTGCCTTACAGCAATGGTCACGGATCGAGTTGATCATCGCTTCCTCCACCTGCACGATAAGAAAACCACTATTCCTCAGATGTCATCTTCTCAAAGAACAAAGCAAGGTACAAGCAGTATGTAAGGCATCCCGACACTAGCAACGGAACTGTACCCTCTTGAGAGCTGCTCAGTATTTTCCTCTGGATAATGGGAAAGTCCGGGTGCTGGCAGAGGCTGCTCGTATCACCTGTACTAACACTTTTGGACGATGTTAAAAAAAAAGGAAAAAAGGAAAAAGGATTGAGGTGGAGCTAAAGCTGGGGGCCAATGCCGCACTAGTCATGAGGGTTTCTTCATATACACCCGGAACTGAGCTATGATGAAAACTGCGGCACACTATCTCCAGGTTGAGGAGTAATCTATGATGACAATTGCAGCACACCATTTATAAGCAGATCATCTATTTTCATATACTGCTCGTCTATCACGAGCAGAAACACGATCGTCACAGGCATCTTTTTGTTTCTGTTGTGTTTTCTTTTCTTTTCCTTTGAAAAGCAACAAGGGGGCTAGCCCCCCCACTACTATTCGAGCGGGTCAGGATTTCAACTCATGACCTGTACATCCGTGTACTGCTCAACCACTGGGCTGGGGTAGCAGCATTTTCTGAACGGAGAAATGGAAGGAGCCTAACGTCTGGCATGATTACTTTCTTTCGGAGGGGAAATCCGTTTCCTCTGCACTTCGACCGACCTAGTTGGAGAAGCTCACAAAGATTCTTCTGGCAGCAACAGAAGTTCTCCACAACTCAGATGCAATGACCCCGTCCATCATGACAAGCTTCCTCAAGTCCATCATGCAAGTATCGAAAATCCACTCAAATTGAAACCACTCACAATCCAGCACAAGTCCACATACACTGAATGTAGTCCCAGAATAGGTAGTGAGTCACCAGAAGTGAGACAAACGCCCACAAGCAAGTGAGAGAGGAGGACAGTTTCATTAATAATCAATAATGCACTTGAAACGGCTGTTCCATCCCTTCTCACCTCCGGGAGCAATTTGCCTCGGGCCTGAACTCAAAATGGAAGGTCTGAGCCTGGGCGCCAGAATGCCGGATGGCGAAATCAGAGGAGGGATTTGAGAACGGGCGCCAACTGCATAGGGCGCCAACAGTCAGGAACGGGAGATCAGAAACTCAAAAAAATAGCAGCCTTGGTGGGTGGTAACCCGCGGACCAGGGATGGAGCCCTCGCTGAGTCCGTAAAACTATCCCCTCCGTCTGGAAGGCAACGTCCCAGCTGCCAAAGACCCAATGCACAACTGTGAAGGACGGGAGGGGGCCGATCACTGGTCAGAAAAGGAAGAGGGGAGTAATGCAAGTCGCAGGGTAATCTTATTGAGCCACCAGTACTTCCTAAAGTCCTATTGAGCCACCAGTACTTCCTAAAGTCATGCCCCGCCATGATTTTAGGAACCGTACGAGCCACTACAGGAGTGCCCAAATTCATCCAACTAGAAACGTTTCTATTCTATTTTTTTCTGCGGCCCATAGCTGGGCCAAGTACTGGTGGTTTGAGGTTCTTACAGGGATGAGGGAATCAATGCTCAAGTAACAAGGTAATACTATTGAGGTTCTACAGGGATGAGGGAACCAATGCTTAAGTAACAGGGCAATCCTATTGAGGTTCTACAAGGGTGAGGGTAGCAATGTTCAGGTAACAGGATAATCCTATTGAGTTTCTACAAGTAACAGGGCCCTCCTATTGGTGTTCTACAAGGTTATAGGTTGTCAGGTTTGAGAAAAAAAAAAAATTGTTTGTTCAATGCTCAAGTGCTGCGGTGTCTGAGGGGTCTGGGAAAACCTCTCAGGTCTGTAACAAAGTGTCAAGAGCGAAAAAAAACGTCTTTGAGCCTTTGAGGGTGTCGCACAAGTGGCGGTGAGGAAGCAGTCTTCAGCAGTTCTGTGATGTTGACGGCAAGGGCCTCAGATTGATTGTCCCAGTAGCAGGTCGCGTCCGGTACACGATCTGATGACGAGGTCTGATCCGGATAGCAGGTCGCAGACTGATCTTGATGTCCATGTCAGAGATGCTGCTCCAGAAGTCTGCGAGTCCAAGGTGCCGCCCAAAGGGAACAGCATGGCGCCGAACCAGCTGTCTTATCTCCTCGTACTGAGCTGCAGCATGCCATCGTCCTCGTGTGCTTGCCATCAGATCCCTTATCGCCAGCGACGCGCAGGGGCCACGAGTAGGACTTGGGCAAGAGAGACAGAGATGTGGCAGAGGACAGATGGGAGAACGGAACGAGATGGAGGCAAGAGCGGATCAGACAGAGGGAGGTCAAGGGGCAAGGGTTTTGCTGGGTATAGGGGATGTGTATAGCGCAAGGAGGCAGGGTTGAGGCAGGGTTGAGGCAGGGTTTAGGCGAGGTTTGGGCGAGTTAGGCATAGTGGGTAGCTAGGATATAGGATGGGCGCGATCATAGGCGCGGACAGGTTTCATGGCATTCTTAAGGTTAGCTAGAGGTTCCCATGTAGAGGTTAGCTAGAGGTTCCCATGTAGATTCTTCTTCGGGGTATCCTGTCCATTTAACTTCATATTTTGTGATTGGTTCAGGGTGGTCAGATACCTGAGTAGTTCTTCGTCCTACTATGATACCTTCGACGACGAATTCAGGGCCTGTGGGTAACATGATTGGTGGAGGTCTAGGATATGGGCAGTCAGCGAATTGGGGTGGGGATTCATAGTATTCTTTTAGGTATTCTACATGGAAGATAGGGTGGACACGACTCATGCCAGGAGGGAGTTGGAGCTCGTGGGAGGTTTACTCAATGATGGGGAAGGGTCTGAGCCATTTGTTCGAGATTTTCTTGGACAAGCCATGTTCGAGTTCAAAGCGTTTGGCGGAGAGCCAGACTTTGTCCCCTACTTTGAATGACACGTCACATCTGTGTTTGTTGGTCTTGTTGGCTTGCTGTTCTTGCGTTCGTTCAAGGGCTTTGGTGGCTTCTCTGAGGAGTCTGTCCATTGTTGCTACCCATTCATTGAGAGAAGGGCAGGGGGTGGAGGGATTGAGTTGTGAAGGAAGAAAGAAGTCGGAGGGCAAGCGAGGATGGTAGCCAAGGTCGAGGTAGAATGAGGACATGCCAGTGGAAGGGAAAACGGCGTTGTTATAGGCGATCTCGACTGCTGTGAGCAACTGATCCCAGTCGTGTTGGTGTGGATGACAATACTTTCACAGGATTCTTTGGAGAGTGTTGTTCATCTTCTCGGTTTGTCCATCAGTCTGCGGGTGGAATGAAGTGCTATACTTGAGTGTGGTTCGATATGCTTTGAAGAGTCGTTTCCGAGATTGCGCGAGTAAGCGGGGATCACGGTCACTAGTGATGTTCTCGGGGAGGCCGTGATGGCATGCAACATGATCAAAGAAGAGAGTCGCGAAGACTTTGGTGTTGTGCGAAGTAGTGCAAGCGATGAAGTGCGAGCGTTTGGTCAAGCGACAGACAATGACATAGATGCAGTCATGGTCACAGTCAGTCTTGGGGAGACCGCACATGAAGTCCATAGAGGTGGACTGCCAACGGTGAGTGGAGATAGGCAACGATTGTAACTTGCCAGGGTTGGCCCGGCTTGAAGGGTTGACGGTTTGACATGTGGGGCATAAGCGAATGTAAGCTTTGATGTCGACAAGTAGGGAAGGTTGTTAGAAGTAGCGGAAGATGGTGTCGAAGGTTTTCTGGAACCCAAGGTGTCCCGCAGTCTTGGCGTCGTGGTGCTCAGCCAAAAACTAGGTACGGAAGCCACGTGCGTCGGGGATGCAAAGTCAGCGAGTGCCTTTGGTGTCGATGTAGGAAGTTGGTCGTGAAGGGAGTAGTCAAGGACTGGGTCGAGGTCATGAAGTTTGTTGTAAATTGTTGAGAAATCTGGGCAAGAGAGGTAGTCGTGGGTGTAGGGTTGGTGGAGTGATGGGAGAAGTTGAATATAAGTCAAGGTGGCATAGACTTTCTTGGAGGGATTGTGGTCGGAGCGTCGAGAGAGGGCATCGGCAACGTGGATGCTTTTGTCCAGGGTGTAGCAAATGGTGAATATAAACTGGGCAAGAAAGTCTTACCAGCGAGTTTGGCGTGGCGTGACGTCTCTCTTAGTAAGGATAAAGGAGACGATGGAGTTGTCGGTGCGGATGGTGAAGTATTGCCCGTCGAGGTACAGGCGCCAGACTTTGAGGGCGTGAATCACGACGAGGAGTTCCTTCTCATGGGAGGGGTAGTTCATCTTCGCGGGAAGGAGTTTCTTGCTTGCGAAGGCGATGGGGTATTTGTCGGGTGGAGCCTCGGGGTGGGTGGGGGAGTCTTTGATGGAGGGGGTTTTGGAGGTCGTGAGGAAAATGTTGCGGGAGGACGACTCCAATGGCGAAGTTGGATGTGTTAGTGGTAACGAGAAATGTCGAGAGGGCTCGGCGATCTAGATGATGAGTGTCGTGGTGATGGTTTGTTTGAGGAAGTCAAAGGCGTTTTGGCGGCGTTGTTCCAATTGAAGGGCTCGTCCTTGCATGTGAGTTCGTGGAGTGGGTAAGAGATGTCGGAGAAGTTATGGATGAAGGGGCAGTAATAGTTGGCAAGGCCGAGGAATGAGCGTAGTTGAAGTAGGGTCTTGGGCGGGGGGTACTCAACGAGAGCGGTGACCTTCGAGGGGTCCATGCAGATTCCTTCAACAAAAACGATGTGGCAAAGGTATTCTACGCCAGAGGCAACAAAGGTCCATTTGATGAGCTTGGCGTATAATTTTTGCTCTCTGAGGACAGAGAGACTTGGCGAAGGTGTTGAAGGTGGGACTCGAAGGTGGGGCTATAAACAAGAATGTCATCAAGGTAGACAACGACACAAACTTCGAGGAGGTCGCGGAAGATGTGATTCATGGTGGATTGAAATGTGGTGGGGGCGTTGGTGAGTCTGAAGAGCATCACGAGGAACTCATAGTGCCCGAAGTGAGAACGGAATACGGTCTTGTGGGTGTCTTCCTCGCGAATGTGGATCTGGTGGAAGCCACTGCGGAGGTCAATCTTGGTAAAATATTTGGATCCATGGAGGCGATCAAGAAGCTCGGAGATCCGAGGTTGGGGGTACTTGTTCTTGATCGTGATCGGATTCGAGGCACGGTAGTCTGTGCACATCCTTGGTTCTGAGGTTTCGCCTTTCTTTACTAAAAGGCAGCTTGTACCGAAGGGGAAGGAGCTTGGCTTAAAGCAGCTTGGCTTAATGAATCCTTTTTCAAGGAGTTCATTGAGCTTGCTCTTCATTTCTTCAGCTTCCGGGACGAAGAGTTGGTATGGAGGGCGGCATCCCGGAGAGTGGTCGGGTTCTAGATCAATGGTATGAGATACACCACGATCTGGGGGCAATTCAGCAGGTAAGGACTCAGGAAAAATGTTTGTGAACTCGTTGAGGATGGTGGTGAGGGCGGGGTCGGAGGTGGGATCTTGAATGGGTTTGTCCATAGGGAGCAAGTCCTCGGGACGTTCGCAATCAAGAACAAGGTCGTAGTAGGTCGAGTCAGGGTTGTGACGGACCATGTGGAGAAATTGGTGGGGAGTGACGGGGTCTTGGGAGATAGGATGGGGGAGTTGATGGGCGTGTCTGGTGGGTTGGTAAGGCGGAAGAAGTTGGGGTGGATTGCATATGGCATGTAATGGTCCAGCCAAGGTGTTCCCAAAACGATGTCGCACATCAAGTGCATGAGATCAAATTTGACCTGACCGCAGAGGGTTCCAACAGTCGTGGTGGTCTCGAGAACTGTGTGGTCCATTACGACGGTGGTGTCTTTGTCCCCTAGACGAATGGTAATCGGGGAGTCGTAACCGGTAAAGGTGAGACTGGCTTTCCAGACACACGCGTCAGTGATAAAGTTGTCGGTAACTCCAATGTCAAGGAGGGGCCGGAACTTGGTTGTAGACGCACCAAGGGTGGTGGCAATAAACTTGAGGCGGAAGCAGGATGAGTAGGCGGAGGAGATGATGGCGTTAAGGTGGCATTATTCGGTGCCTAATCTGACAAGCCGATCGTGTCAGGCTTGTTCCTTAACAACATCAGAGAAGGTGACAAAGGATGGATTCCGGAGAAGGGTAGAGGGACATGTACGAGTGGGAGGTTGGGAGCGGCGTCAAACGACGTGGGTTGCGACGCCTGGGGATCGTCCGGTGGAAGGTGCGTCACCAATTAGGGAGGGGGCAGATAAATTTTCGATGCCGACTGGGTCATTGGTGGGAGAGAGGTCGTCACCGATGGGATGGCCGACAGACTAGTCGTCGATGTCGGGGCAGTTTCGTGGTGATCATGGGGACAGTGTTCAAGTGGAGGAGGGGCCGGGAGTGGCGGGTGAGGAAGCGGCGGGTTGGGGGGCCGTGGACCTGGGTGCCTGACTTGTGAACTATCTAGTATTTGGACAACTTGTCTATTGATGTCCTAACTGTCGGCAACGGAAACATTCACCCTTAGCGTGGAGGTAGGTTCGCTCCTACGGCGTGAGTTTTGTGAAACGGGTTGGGTGATTGTTGATAAGGGGACAGCTGGTGCGTTCTCTCTTTTCCATCCACATAAGGTGGATCGCGGAGAGTTCGTCGGAGGAGAGCGATGTGGTGTCTAGTGGGTCGGAGAGGGTGTCGAGGTCGGGGGGCGGACTCGTCCGAGGAGGCAAAGAGAGAGGTTTCGTTCCTGTTGTTATGAAAGAATCGTGGACGGGGTGGGGCGGATGTGAGTGTGTCCTTGTACAGAGTGTGGAATTTGTCCAGGTGAATGGTGCGGTTGAAGAGATCGGAGAGGGACATCGGGGGGTCGTGGACGAGGGAGGTGGCGAGGTCCTTGCAGCATCCTCATTTGAAGCGGGAGATGAATGCGACATCGCTGACGTAGTCAAGGGGGATGTGTTGCCGCAACGCACGGACGTATTGGACAAAACGGTCGGTCGGGCTGTTCTATCGAAGGCAACAAAGTTGCTCAAAGTAGTCGTCGACCGTCTTTTGCGGTCGGGATGTGCAGGCGATGAGGTTGACCCACCCAAGGAAGGAATGGGGTTCCGCGTTTGCTTCTTTGCGATTAGCTCGTTCCATGTACCACCACCGAGTGACGCCCTCCTGTAACTTGGTGTTGGCAATAGGGAGTCAGTGTGTGACAGGGACGTTGTGGAGGGAGAAAGCATCGTAGAGTTTGCTAAGACGAAGACGTCCTCGTGGGGAAGGCCGGTAAAAGGGGGGATGTCCATTGGTCGGAAGGATAGGGGAATGTTACCCGTTAAGGATGTTGTGCCGGCGAGGGTGTTGAAATCAAGTTTGGGTGAGGAGGACGATACCCAGGCGAAATCGGTGGTGGGGTTGGTCGGGAGGAGTGTGGATAGTGGATGGAGTTAAGAGAAGTTTTGACAGGGGCGGAATAGTCGACGGTTGTGCGACGGCGGGGGTTGTCGTCTTGGGCGGTGGGGTGACCGTGCTGGAGGTGGAGGTGGAGGAAGGCAGGGGTGTGGATGGCGTGCTAGCGGAGAGGGTGGTGGATGTGGGGGCGGAGTATAGGTGAAGGGTGGTGGAACAGGAGGTGGGTGAAGGGTGGTAAAATAGAAGGTGGGGGATGGGGACATGGTGGTGACGATCTGGATGGCGGGGGAGGGGGGTGGGGACGTGGCGGTGACGATCTGGATGGTGGGGGAGGGGGGTGGGGATGTGCTGGTGACGATCTAGATGGCGGGGGAGGCCTGTTGTTGTTCGACGGTGGCTATCAGTTGGGAAAGGCTGGAGACAGTGGAGAGGAATACTTGGAGGGAGTTGAGGATGGCTTGCATGGTGGTCATGAGGGAGAGGAGGTAAAAGGAGTCACTGGGGACCTCATGGCGGGAGCCTGTTGACCAATGAGTTATCGACGGAGGCTGTCGACGGACTGGGTGTTGATGGAGGACATATTGATGCTAGATTCTGCGATCATCGTGAAGGAAACGGCCGAAGTGGTGGCGGTTACTGGAGAAGCGGGCGGTGATGAGATGGAGGCAACTACGGCAGCGGTAGCAGTAGCGAGCTAAGAGTTCTTCGTTTGGCGTCGCATGCCCGGGGGGGAGGTTGGAGACTTTTATCCTCAAAACAAAGAATTAACGAAATTTTTCTAAGAATAATTGGTGAAATTCGAAACGGTATTTTGCTGGAATTTTACAAAAAGAAGATATGAACATTTCGAAAAACGGTGATTAATTCCAAATAAACTTTAATAAAGAGATTAATTCAGTCATGAATTAATTGAATTTATTCAAAATTCATTGAGGAGTTAAAAATAACAAAAAAAAAAAAAGTACTTCCAAATTATACCAAAAAATATATAAAAGAGAATTTTGAAAAATAATTGTGAAAAGGAATTAATTGATCATGATGTATTTCAAGAACAATTCCAAAAATAAAATTAAAATATACAAGAAAAAGAATTAATTATTTTCGAATATAAAAAAAGATATGTCAAAAAAAAAATCAATTAATTCGAACGAATGACAAAATTTTCAAGAACGAATTAATGAAGAAGTAGTTTCGAATTTCGAAAAAGAAAAGTTAAGAAAAAATTAGTTGATTCTAAAGTATTTGCGAATTAAATATATATATATATATATATATATATTCGAAAAGGAATCAAGAAGAAGTGTTGAAAAAGAAGTAATTAATTCTAACGTATTTCTAAATAAAAATTTGAAAAAACATTAATTAGTTGCGAGGCAAAAGGCCTCTCTAAGCCCCACTAGGCCCTGTTATCAGCAAGGTCGGCCACCCTACTAGGTGAAGGCAGGCCCGATCAAGGCTTATTTTGGACTACTACGCAACTGGGGAAAATTCAGGCAGTTGCGCAACGCCTCTTGGTTGGAAGCGCCCAGGCCCATGCTACCTTTCATCGTATGTAATTGAGGCAGGCCCTAGGCCGGATACACAACATGGACCGAACAAAGGCTGCGGGCAGTTGGGTGCTGGTAACCACCACAAACCCTGGGCCTGTCTCCTTTGGACAGAGGCTCAGCCTCGTGGGGCCTACAGGAAGCTTCTAGGTCGGGGCCCAATACCGGATTACCGCACGCAGCAGCAAGCCACTTCGATATAGGGAAGGGTCTGCCCACACATTGGACATTCGGGCACTGGCTGCATGTTGCGCAAGCGTTGTTGCGCTAACGCTACGCAGCGCTCGCGCGCTCACAGGCGAGTTGGAAGGAGCAGGCAGCCATAGCCGAGCTGCGCTGCTGTATGTTGGATGGGGCGCATGGTGGTCCTTGGGTGCATGTGGCATCTATGAGTTGAGGAACAAGGTTGTGAGTGATACAAGAGACATAACTCGTGCTTGAAGCATACGACATTGGCCAAGATCTGCTCATACTTCGGGGAGTTGTTGACGTCACCAACGACATTGTAGTTAGGCTAGATAGGATCTGCCATTTATAATCTGGGCGCCGAGCGCCAGATGGGATGTCGACATTGTTCCTTTGTTGATGATGATGAGACTACTCGAACATTGTCACTTATGAGCTTTTGTTGTACTAATATTTGGTGGGACTCGTGATGCAATTCTGCTTTTGGTTCGAGGTCACGACTATCTGGTCTCATGTGTACAATGCTGCTTGGTTTCTCAAGTTCGCTATCGCTCATTTTCCTTGCAATATGGTATCAGAGTTGTGATACGGTGCGCTCATCTGGCGCTTGTCTTGCCGTCTGCTGAGCGAGTGGTCGTGGGATGATTGTAGTGAGGAGGGTGAAGGCAAGTAAGGCAACCGAGGAAAAGAGGGGTATCACCAGGAAGGCTAATAAGTGTTGAATATTGGGTGTTCGGAGTGTGATGAGAATTATCCGATGTGCGATTGATGCTGAGCTGGAACGGTGGTGTGATGCTGGTTGTGTCGAAGCAGCAATTGGTCATCACAATCGGCATCGGGTCATCTGGTGAGAATATCTCTTGTTGAAGGCAGCTATTTTGAGGTACGTTGCACCTGACCTTATCTACCCTCTTCGACACTTCTTACCATGAGGATGTGTGTTTTGTCTTAAGAAGTTAAGAGTCCTCTCATGTCAGAAGTCGTGTACGCTCAACCTTGAGAATCGTGAGTCTTCACGTGGAGCATCTGGAAGGACAGGGCGGTGCTATCTGAAGGGCCCTGGACGAAGCACTAGGTCACAATCACCATGCCAATCCACCGGGAGTAGAGCACGCATGCTTTGCTGCTTTGTCCTTTGTCTTCTCGTTGCACTATAGATGCCATTAGATGGGTTCTGAGGGGCAGGCCAACCCTATGAGAAAGACGAGTATCAGGCGTCTATAAATAAACACCGGCGGGGGCCTTCCATTGGTTGTGATCGCCGTCCTGTTTGTGACGTTAAATAATTCATGAGGACTTCGGGGGCCGTCCATAAAAATGCCTCCTGATCAGCCAATCGGTCGGTGTAATGCTCGTTGCACACGAGGATAAATACGGTGCAGGGCTGGCCAGCTCAGCAGGACTCGGGGCACAGGGGTGGGCCGTGTGCACACCTTCAGACACGCATGCTGTTTTGGATGGCTCAGGGACGTTGACGACAAGAGACATTCAGGGAGAATTGAGGGAGGGGTAGATGCAGATGATAAGTTTGAGCAAGATTCCATTCTGCAAACAAACCCAACAAATGATTCTAATTTTATTTTGATTAGTTAGATGTATAACCATTAACATCTGACAGACAACATAATTAGAACTGTTTTTTGCTCATGGTGCTTTCTGTTTGCGAACTAGTCAACGTCAAAGTAGTTTCGTTTGTAGGAATCTGAACTTACCTGTTCGAGCCAAATGTGTAGTCTCTAACATAGCCACCGAGTATTTTTTATTTATTTTAAATCCGGTCTGTACATCATGTTGCGGTAGGCATCGAGAGTGTCCTAGTGCAGATAGTGTACAGTGTTGTAACCTATGAGCGACAGGGAGGAAACTAGAGAGGACGATCGGATCCTGCGATCAGCAAGACACCCGATAGCCCACTTGGCATCAGAACCAGAGGGCGACGTACACCTGTTCTGCCAACAGAGGGAGAGACAATAGCATCGGCGGAAGGCTAGGGTCGCAGAGGCAAGCAGGGCATTCACGAGCGAGGTCGCCACCTCATCAGCCATGGCATCTGCCGCGCAGAAGAGCTCGCAAGCAAGTAGTTCAGGTTTTGTAGGGTCAATGGTCACACAGACCATGAATCAGTCCACTGGCGTTATGCCAAGCCAGCCGTTAGTTTTGACCCCCAAGGAGGTTGCCATACAGCGAGCAGCTATTAGTGAGGCACAACTACAGCAGACCTTAGGAGAGATTAAGGCAGAGAAAGAGAAGATGATAAGAACAAGAGTCAGGATGCAGCGGAAACAAGCGGGCGTCAATGAGTTAGAGGGCATGGATCTGATGCACATGGATGCCGATGTTAGGACCGGTCCGTCCTGCTAGATGTAGTAGAAATACAGGACCATCAGATGAGTCTATTGCAAGACATCCAACGGAGTCTGGCCGAGTTGGTCGGGTGAGCACAGACAGCTCCATCGCCGTCCGGGCCAGGTGCCTGGCCTGTTGTACATCCTCCTCCTTTCGTCCCACCGGTGACTGGAGTATCCCTATATATTTCTCCAGCATCGGTCTAAGCCGCTTCCCTAGGTATGCCGCAAACATGAGGGTTCTTAGCAGGTCCTAGTATACAAGTTCATGTACAGACAATATACTCTCAAACTCCGTCGCAGGTTGTCGTAATAGGGCAGCCTGCTGTCTCGCAACCTGCACAGTCGTAGGGTACACAGCCCCAGCAGCAGATAGTGCAGCACCCTAGTCCCCAAGGTCCACAACCTAGAGTGGAACAGGTGCCGAGACAAACTCAGTGGGTTCCGAAGACGGTCATCGCCTCTTCCAAACCTTTTTCAAGGGACAAGAAGGGCGAAGACCTTGATATATGGTTGAGGTCAGTGCCAGTCTATGTCAAGTGTAAACTTACCTTGCCGGACAAAGAAGTGTTTGTGGCTGCCTCCTATATAGAGGGGAGTGCAACAAGATGGTTGAGTGGTTTAGTGCAACTACAAGGATACGGTCATGACTTCCGCGCTTGGGAGTTTACCAGAAATTGGATGACTTCCTCAAGCTGGTGGAAGAGAGGTGGCATGATCCTCGAGAGCCTGAAAAAGTCACTGATGCGATCCTGACTCTGAACCATAGACAGTTCAAGTCAGTAAGAGAGGCCACGGACGCAGTAGAGCGTCTGATTTGTGTCCCTGGAGTGCGATATGACCCCCAGGTTTTACTCACCTCCTACCTGAGATGTTTTCCTATGCCTCTCAGGAATCAGTTGGCAGGTGAGGCCAACATCAACATGCACAACTTCCCCTCGTTCAGCAAGAAGGCCCTATACCTAGAAGCAAAGATAGGGCATGGTCAAACACCCACGACAGATGGGAGGAAGAAGTCACTGCCTCCCAACTCGAAGGCAAAGGGTCGCATAATGTTTGTTGACAACGATGGTTCTACCATTCAGTTGGAAGACGACCTCCAGGGGGGGGTAGGTTTAGAAGCACGCAGCTACGAATCCCCATCGGCGGCAGCCATCCGCGGACAAGTCCACGGCCGCGCGACTTTGCGGCTGCATGGCGGCCAGTGGGGAGTGGGGTTTGGGATTCGGGAAGCGCCATGGGGCGGCGCAAGCCCAGCCCCACCCCCTCAAACAAAAAAACATACCAAAAAGGTTGAAAAAACTAATTTTTGGGTAGGGGTGTTTGGGTGAGTGAAGGTATTTAAAAAAAAAAAAAAAAAAAAAAAAAAAAAAAAAAAAAAAAAAAA